AAATACAACTCAGATAAAGAAAATTTTTAACTGTATGCATTTCCCTATGTGTGTTTCTTTCTTCTAACTGCATCCTGTAAAGCACATGTGATGATTATGAACCATTTTTTTCATATGTTGAAAAGTTCACTACCACTTTTACAGGTTTATCTGTGTTTGTCATTGTCGTTCTATACGTTTTCGAATAAATATATAATTCTGATGCCTTTAGCCAACGTGTTTGACAGCTAAGGTAAGTTCGTTGAGTTTAAGTTGGTTGCATACAAAGTGAAACATATACTAAAAAATCGGTTTGTATTTCAACAGGTTTTTCAACTGCACAAGGTCTTAATTCTACCGTTCGGAGGTAGCAGAGGCCCAATCAGCTATAACTCAGTTCACAATATCCAGAACTGACTCGATCCTGTTTTTATACGCTCTTTGTCAATTTGCTTAACAAGGGAGAGGGCTTCAGTATTTAAATGTTTGGTAAACATCCATAGATGTTGTGATAGTTCGAGCAGCAATTCTTTTGATGCTCTATAAACACCTAATTTTTTCTGACCTAAGGAGAAAAAGGAAAGAAAGAAAACTGTTTCTGCGTTCCATTGCCGACTCGAAACTAACTCTACAAGTAACCTATCTCAAATAACAAATTTTAAGCGCCCTTAAAAGAACATCCTTCCGATGTATAAAACTATTCGTTTCTCTAGCATTACTATACAACTGTCACAGTTTTGCGAGGTAAGAATTACACGCATGTCATTAGCGAAGAAATTTTTTCTATTCATGAAGAATCACTGACTTAGAGTCTTATAAAGTGGTTCGAACGCTGTGGAAATGGATCGTTGTTATTAAAATTAAAACAAAAGTTTTCTTACCTTTTTGTAACTTTTAATCGACTCTTCTACAATGTAATTATTTTCCATGTAAAGACAAACAGTATACACGTGTGGTAGGTCGTGTATTTATGGAGCGAACTTTTGTCCAAACTCAACATTAATCATTAAAAATATTTTTTCGTTTTTGACATTTTTAATATAATTTTCACATTCTTCCAGTTTATCAAACGTGTGAAGATAATCGATAATACGACAAAATTTTGTTTTTACTATAACTAAATCTTTTATTTTCATCAAGCCATACGGCAATATATTCTGATTCGAAATACCCAGTTTTCTCAAATATCATCGACGGTCTGACACTGTTAATTTCTCATTCAAACTTTCGTTTCATTCCATGACTTGCCATTTACATCTCATTTGTGTCATTGTTCAAAAGCTGTGAAATATAAGCACCTGATTAAGTCCTTATGAATTCGATGAGTCTTATTTCAAATCTTTAGTGATGTTTGTTGCAAGGGAAAGAATCAGTAAAATGTGCATTTGTTATTACGACTGCATTTCTTTTTATTTTGACAGTGATGTTGAGAAAAATATATGACGAAGAAAATAATATTTACACACTTGAACATCTAGAACAAGTAAACAAAGAATCGACAAACTTATTTTTAAAGAATACACAGTGGCCAATCACATGGAAATTCAGTGAAAAAATGAAAGCTACTTTTTTAATGATTTAAATAGTGCTTTATATACACTAGCCAATGGCCAATTTAATGGTGAAAAATATTTGATCCAAATGCTTTAAGTGGTCGAGATGGGTAATTTTTTTTTGGGGTGGGGTGGTGGCCCATCACCCTAGGTTAGATAATGTTTTCGGCATCTTCATAGTTCTGTGATCATCCTCAAAAAGTACTTTAACCTTATCCACTGGATAAGGTTAAAGGACTCCTAGATATACGGTATGAATAGGCATTGACAGGCCCTGGTTGTCCCTATGAACAGACCTTGAGAAGTTGTCCTATGGATAGATCTTGATATATTAGGCCAAATTACAGATCTTCCAAAGTCGACGTTTAGTTCGCTCAAAAGAACTGTTCGACCAGTTCAGCTCATTCAAAACGAACTGTTCGAAAAGTTCAGTTCGCTCGAAAAGAACTTTTGAACAGTTCTTTTGCTCATTTGAACGGAGTTCGTGAACGTGAGCTGGTGAACCCCTAGTGGTGGGTAAAATTTTTTGCAATTTTTGCTACAACTCGACGAAAATCGTTTTCTCTTGTCAAATAGGCAGTCACTTAAAAATTGTAACACATATATACTAAAAGCTGCGCACTTGGGCTACTAATTCATAAAAAAATTTTTGTCCGAACGGTTTGCGAAAAGGAAAGAACATGTTTTTTATCTGCAGGAGATGTCTTTCGGAAACATGCGCCCAGTAAAGTGGGCACACCATCCACATCCAAACTCTGTTTTCAATGAAACTTTCAGCAATTGTTCCTCTGTATGTGGCACGTCTAGATGGAATGCCCAAACTTGCACAAACATTTCTGGGCGAAGTTGTAGATTTTACAAAAACTCTGGATTTTTATCGTTTTCTCACGTTTTTCTTAGTAAAAAAGCATCCTAGCTAAAAGGTAAGGACATATTCGGAATTAGCGTCAAAACCTGTATCCAATGATGTGCCCCTTTACCGCTTTCAACGCATGTATGCTGAATTTTTCTGAAAATAGATTTTCCAAGATTTTTCTCTAAAGTTAAAGCTGCTGTTTTTTGCACGGCATCATGAGCGTTCGAAAATTGTGAAAACCAGCTTTCTATAAGTTTACGGCCATAACAAATCTGATGGGGTTGTTGAAGAACTTTCAAAGTGGTTTTTCGAAGGTCTCCAAGAGACTGGATCTCTCGAAAACCACCACAAAACCAGGTTTTAGCTGGGATACGGAAGCCATAAGAAAGAGCGCACACGAAAACCTATTAAAAACAAATTTTTCGGTTCAACGAATCGCTCTGAAACAAATTTCCACGTGCCTATCGAAAATTGCCCACTGTGGAATATACCGTAGGGAAAATCCTTGGTGTTTCCGTATCAGATCATTGATAGCTCCGATAAGGATCCTGCATGTATTCGCTCTTTTTTCCTGAGGAAACGGCTAAATCCTGGAAAAAGTGGGTAGCCACGGAATTTCAAGATCTTGATAGGAATTTTTAAAGATCCTGCGAAGTTATTGCCAAGTTTTTTGCAGGATTATTAGATATCTTGCGGACAATCATTCATCACGAGATCTGCCAGGACGGGAAATAGTGAATTATCTAAACAATTATAGCATTAATTATGGATGTAAATACCTAATTCGTAATTTTTTAATAAAGAATTCATTGATGCAGCTTTAACGGTCCATCTTGTAGGACATAATGCCTTTAATTTTGTATACGGTATTGAACTTTCATATGATATTTCTTCAGCTATAGCTAACCTTTTTGGCGATCGGTGAACAAAAGTAATTATATCTTTTGTATACGTTATAGTTGTATCCATTGTTAAACATTGACGACATAAATTCTGCATAGCTAAATCCAAGCAGTGCGCATTACAGTGCACATATATGCTCTCTTTTGTTTTTTGAGTAATAATGCAGCTACTTCTTCATGTACACCGCTCGTATTTGCAGCTCCATCATATCCTTGACCTCGACAATTACTAACATCTAAACCACATCTTACAAGAACATCAATTATAGCTTCAGTAATTCTGCTTGCATTTAGTTTATCAATTTCATATCAACCAATTACTTCGTATATAATATACTTGTCATTTACTGAACGGCTTGGCCAAATGTTACGGAATTTCGTTTTTTCGTCTTCTGTGCCCCTTATCCCGGCAAAGAAGCAACGTTTATCAATGAAATTTATATCAATGCTGGATATTAGGGAGTTCTACTACCAAAAGTAATTTGAGCTTGATTGAACAAGCGGATCAAAAGTTATAGTCAAAATAGAGGCCATTACGGAATTTCAAAAAATGGAAGTGTTTTTCGGCGTATTTCAGTAAAATGTAAATTATTCAGTCTTAAATTAATTTTAAAATGATTGCTTCATTACCAAATTAAAGCTCATAGTTTGACCTATCAGAATGACTACTGACTTTTTCTTGAATTTTCCCTGGCAGAGGAAATAGAATAAAAGTGACCGTTACGGAATTTCACCGCTTTTTGCTCTTTTTTGCAGATGCTTTGATATATATTTTTTCTGTCGTAGAACTACTTAGCAAGCTCTGATTTGCATACAGATAGATAGTTTGAGGTGCCCTTCATCCAATGCAGTCAAAAATAGATTTTCAAAGTTAGATTAAACGGGCGTAAAACTGCTCACAAAATAAGCGCCGAAACGTTTTTCAGAAAATCAAAAAAACATTTTCTCATCCAAACATGAAAACAAATGAGGCATTTTATAGTATTTTTATAGTATTTTTTTTAGTAACCCGTCCAGAGTAGTCCGCATTTGGAATTTCTTTTTAAAAGTGTCAGGACTACAAGTCTTGATGTACGACCGGATGCTGAACCATAGGAGTAGACTGGACGGGGTGTCCAAAAGTCGAGCATGACGTAACTTAAATTAAGTTAAAGAAAACCGATTCGTACTAAATAATATGATAATTGAAAATAAATTTCTTCTTCTTTTATTTAAATGATAGGATCACTCCTGTTGGCAGATCAATCCAGGTTTTACCAGTCTATTCCTGTCTTATATTTTCTGCGTCGTCCAGTTGTTACAGTTAGCCAATATTAGTTTTTCTCCAAATAAGTAATATTTACGCAAAAAGTTACTTGAAAAAAGCCAGTTTAATTTTTCTGTAGGTATACAACAACGTTGAGTTTCAAAGTAAACACTGATGTCAGCTTGTACATGATGGAGTATCCTTTGTTTAGACGCCATTATAGTATACAACGTTATAGTAACATACTAAGTTCATCATTGATCTCGATAACGGGCAGCGTGTAGGTTCTGTATTTGATACAATCAATTTGTTATCTGAAGTAGATTTTGTATTATAAATAGCAGTTGTTAAAAGTGAGTTTAAAAAATCATGACAAAATGCTTTTTCGTAAAGTTCATTCTTAACGAATCACAAGAGACTAGACTGTAAATGAGAAAACAAGAGGGAAAAATAAGTCAACATCAGTAACTAATAAAAGATGAAGAAGAAAAAACTTGATTGAAAGGAAAACCAAAAACTCTACTTTTTGAAAAGTAAACTGAAAAGAAAATAGGTTTCAATGTTTTGAGAAAAAGTAACAAAAGTCATATTTCTGAACGAAATTAGGTCCGATTACGACTCGTTTTTCGTGTAACGCGCGGAAACGGAAATTAATTCTTTATGAGTTGATTTCTTAGAAGAACTTTCTCTATTTCTTCACACATTGCGTCTTACAAAGCTTTTACCTTTCTCCACTCGAAAGGAAAAGGAGAGAACAAATTTAGTAACGACAAAGCAGCCGTTACAAGGGGGGTATGTCAATCTAAACGTTCAGTATAAGGTGCCAAAAGGTACAATATATCAAAGGTAACCGTAAGTAAAATAATCTTCTGACTGCACCTTCTGTTAATTTATTTAGCGTTGCTTCTTGTTTTTTTTTTTTCTGAGCTTCCAAAAACTGCCAGACCATCGCTGATGAACATCTGGGAGATGTTTAGAATGTAGAGCGTTGCATCGAATCCACTATTTGGAATTTAAAATCCCAAACTGTTTTAGTGGTGAAAAGCCTATTGCAAAACGTTTTCAAGAAGCACACCATCTGATTCAGGTAGTACGTTTTCATTTACTTTTTTATATTCGGATAGCCCCAACATTTTTCTTTTAAAAACTGACAACTGCACGGTTCTAGCGCTTTCCGTTGAAACGTTATTAAAAAAATAATGGACTCCATTATATTTTGAAATGGATAGTACTACGCTTTTAGTCATAAGAACTGCATTTATATCTTCGAAATAAAGCACTATTGTGAGTTTCAATGTACGTAAAAATGAAAATCTAAATTATGGTGAACCCCTTTTGTTTCTACGTAATTTTCAGAAAACGACTTCTCGTCACGTTTGAATCAGTCCAAATAATATCAGCCTTGTCTTCTTCCTTTGAATCGCGTACTAATTAACCAGATCCTGATTGAAATCAGTAATATTTAATCAGTAATAATATCACCAATGACAATGGTGTTTTGCGAGTAAGCTTTTTACGTTACTTTCGTTATATACACCGACTTTTGCCTATTTCAACCATCATCGCATTTTTTTTGCACTGTTTTTTTTCTATTTTTTGTTACTTTTGTTTTACATACTTAAAATGAAAACTGCTTTTCATTTACCCTTTTTTTCGTTGAGTTGTGTTTGTGTTGCTCACTTTCCTTCCCCAGCGTGCATCCAAAGAGACGAGAATAGGTAAGCACACAGCTCAGTTCGAAAAAATATATCTGGTAGTAAGATCTTCGGCATCAGCGTCAAGCTCCGGGTAAATTTTTTTTAAGCCGTTTCATGACTTCGAAAAACACACTTTTATTCTTTCGATAGGAATATTCTTTCCGTCAATCCAGTTTTGAAAAGAAAAAAGGCTTAAGATTTTTATGATATCTGACATTTTGTCATGTATATCGATGGTTTCAGAAATCTATTCATTAAAGCTTTTCAAAAGTCCTCGAAAGAAGCCGAAAGTTGCAAAACAGGTGAAGAATGTGGACTTCTTCCGTCGGCGTGGTACAGCTTCCATAGCGGAGACAAATTTGAGTCGAAAATTTGGTGATTGAGCTGCTAAGGTCGAGTACTGTATGACGCTTGTTTCTACTGATGTCTTTGGCATCGGCAACCAAATCTTTACCGTTGACATGTACGTTTGAACAGGAATTTCAAAAAGACATTTTTGACACTGGATTTCTTGATGACAGATTTTATTATAGCCACGACGATTTCTAGGTATGATGAAAAAAGCTGAGTCTCTGGAAATCAAGGACACTTAGGAAAACAGATCTCTTCACTTACCGTTTACCTTCTTGTTATCTGTTACTTTTTTCTTCTTCGAAAACTGAATGAATCTATGCTAAAATAATCCTCTTTTATATACTATTTTTTACAGTGTAAGGCCATTTCCCTTTTCTCACCTAGGTAGAAAAGCACGAACTTATTCATTAACCTGAATATAACCACATATTCGTTCAAAGATCTCGTACAATAATTAAAAAAATGACAAAGTATTTTCCTGATCTCAATTAAATTTTTAGTTAGTACGCACTGAGTTCAGACCTATTTTCTGAAATGAGAATTATTAGAAGTGAATCTCTGTGTGAGGATATAGATCCTCTAGTGGCTAACTCTAATCGTAGTAGTGAAGCTATAGTGAGAATCAACTCTCACTCCGATTTCTTTATTTGGAGCAAATGAACAGCTATATATAGTACAAAGTTAAACAAGAGTTGCTCATGAATTACATAACAACAGAAATAGTTAGGAAGATCACAGACTGACAAAAGTGTTGCGCAAGAACAGAAAGAGTGGGAAA